ATATATATATATATATATATATATATATATATATATATAACTGTGCGTTTTCGAAATTACTTAACGTATATATACTTGTAGTGAACAAAAATCTGATCACCCTTATACGAGAGCCGTTCATTCTAGTTACCTTTTAATCTCGATCGTTCAGGTTTTCCCAGAAAAAATAAATATAAAAAGAATATGACTCGATCATATCAGCTGGACGGCCCCCCCTTTGGGTCACTATAAGGAGCGCCCTCCGGCCACTCCGGGTCCTGCCGACACCGCTGTCTGTCGGTCTTCGGTGTCCTCAGCTAGAAGAGGAGCCATGGATTGGTTTCACCAACTCTCGTTCATGGTTGCTTCCGTTTTCATCCCACTCGCTCTCTTATCGTTCTTCTGCATGAGAAGCGGACGAAAGCTTCTGCTGCCGCCAGGGCCGCAGCCGCTACCGATTATCGGCAACATGCTCATGATGGACCAGCTGACTCACCGCGGCCTCGCGAGGCTTGCCGAGAGATACGGCGGCCTCTTCCACCTCCGCCTCGGCTCCCTTCACGCCGTCGTCGTGTCCACGCCGGAGATGGCCCGGCTGGTGCTGCAGGTGCAGGACGCGTCGTTCTGCAACCGCCCCGTCACCGCCGCCATCGCGTACCTCACCTACGACCGTGCCGACATGGCCTTCGCCAACTACGGTCCCTTCTGGCGCCAGACGCGCAAGCTCTGCGTCATGAAGCTCTTCAGCCGCAGGCGCCTCCAGTCGTGGGCGTCGGTCCGCCAGGAGGTCGACTCTGCCGTCCGCTTCGCCGCTAGACGGAGCGGGTCGTCCGTCGATGTCGGCGATCTGGCCTTCACCCTCGCCAAGAACGTCACCTTCATGGCAGCTTTCGGGGCGCAGAGTCACGGGAACCAGGGCGAGTTCGCCGGCATACTGCAGGAGTACTCGAAGCTTTTTGGGGAGTTCAACATCAGCGACTTCCTCCCATGGCTGCGGTGGATGGACTTGCAGGGCATCGACAAGAGGCTGAAAGTGGCAAGGCAAGCGATCGATCGCTACATCGACGTGATCATCGACGACCATTTGGCCAACCCGAAGGAGGCGGATGCGCAGGACGCCGACATGGTTGACGGCATGCTTGCATTTCTTGGGGATTCTGGTGACACTAACGAGGGTGGCGATCTCCATGGTGATCTAAGCCTCACAAGATCTAACATCAAGGCGATAATAATGGTACCTCTCTCTCTCTCTCTCTCTCTCTCTCTCTCTGACAGCTCTGCCGTCAATTATAATGCCTTTGCTAGTATTAGAATCTCAACATAGATTGAGGATATATATGTAGACGAATACACGTTTGAACTCAGAGATCAGATTTTAGTTTGAGTAATTCTGTGGCATGTCAGTCGCAATCATGTCTTACATGTCGTCTTCAGAGATGGAGACATCCTCTTCGGCTGGATGTTGGCATTATCTTATGCAAGCAGGCAACAAAGCCAGCTTGAAAAAGTCATTGAAATTGTTGTATTTGTTGGGGTAAACAACTTTATGCCGTGGTCTCGGGACCGACGTGGCTTGGTTTGGGTCGGAATGCGCGGGGATAGCCGGGGTGGCCAGTTGCGATGGTCCAGGCGGGACGTTGCGTGTGGAGTGAAGCTTTTCCGCAGTGCCGGGAAGATGCAACCCCGCCCTTGTACCTGCACACAGGTCGGGTCGGAAGCTCGGCTCGACCCCTCCGACGATCAAGTTAGATGATGTGGAGGGAGTTTTTTAGTGAAGAAGTGTCCCCCCCTCCTCGTTTAGAACTCGGGGGTATTTATAGGGCAGTTTAGTATTACCTGATGTGCCTGCCTGCACGAGACAGGATCGTACCTCTGATGGCGTCTGAC